AGCATTTCGTATATTAAAAGATACAGAGTCAAGCTACCGAAGCAGGAATACATGCTCAAAATCTCTGTGTGAGGAATTATGTGAAATGATTAAAACAAGGACAAATAATAAAAATGCTGAAGAGATAGATTTTACCCGGTCGCATGATTTAAGATCTATTCCACAAATTCGTTTGAATTCTTTGTCTTTCTCAACTGCTAACGCTCTAATGTCTTCTATTGACGATTCATCGTCACCGTTGGGAAGAACCGGTGAAGCTTTAACAGCCTGCGACAGCAACGAGAGGGCGGCCATTGTAAATACCAGTACGGTTAAAACTTGCATCTTGTAGATCTTTTTTAGCCTGTTTCAGCACTGTTGTTTTCGTCGCTGTGAAGAATAAAATTCAGGAAGTGAATGTGATTATCTGGCCTGAGCTATGACTGCAAAATACTCCAGGACCCTCCAGGTTTGTTTTCTTGGTTATACTAGTTATCAGAATTTTCGCCGCTGCGAAGAATAAAATTCAGCAAGTCGAAGTGTTTATATATATAGAGATATATGTTTATCGCGACATCTCAGCTTGCGCTAATTAAACATAATTGCAAAGTTATCGTTGGTTTAGTCGCTAATGGTCGTGGGTAGATAGGTCGTGGGTAGTGGGTCGTGAAATAGGATGAATTCTGACTACACTAGCACGAGCCATTCAATGTGAAATATAGTTTATTTAGGATGAGCCAGTCAGTCATCAACTTTGAATCCTAATACATTCTGATATTCAATACTGAAAGACTTTACAGCTTAAATACTCATACAGTAGGCCTGTATACGTACTATGTAGGTGTACCACGCCAGATGCGAAAAACCACTAAAAAAAACACTCTTTAGATGTGGCCAAAAAATGTGTGGAAACATATTCCCCACCTAATGCATGGCACAAACCTCCGGGAAGAGGAACTAAATAATAGCTAACATGAACACAAATCCTAAAATAAAAAGAAAACCAAACGAGCAACGAACGCACGATAGACTGACGGACATACAATAATTAATATTTCCCGCTAAAACTATTAAGACGATTTCCGCTGGAGGTTCGAGCAAAAAGTGCAAAAAATTAAGTTACCAAAAAAATACTCATAGCACGGTAACATTTTGAATACAGTTAAGAAGAAATTATCGAAAAATTAGCTCCCAAGCTGACCCCGCGAGAGAAGTCATTACATATTTTAATTAAAAAGACGCTTCATGTCAGTTCAAAACAAAATGGCGTGCGTTTTTATCATTTTTTACGAGGTTTGACATTAATTTTCTCGAGAATGCATGAGAATTTAATTGCGGGGTTACTTGGAGAAGTGAATTAAAGTGATATGTTTCAAATAGTATTCAAAATATTACCGTGCTATGAGTAGTTTTTTAGTAATTAATTTTTGCACTTATTGCTCGAACGTTGAGCGGAATCCGTCTTAAATACCCCTAAAGGTCACATGACAATACCAAAGCCTCTCTTTCGTGCCGTCAGAATAGCAATTTCTGACTTAATCGTCCCTTCGTCACTCAATCGTCAGAAATTACATTTTCTGCTATGGAAAACGTACGTACGCGCTTAGAATTTATCTTTACACTGTAAAAGATATGTAATCTTCGGTAGTCTTCGGAAAATGTTCGTATGACTTTCGGACAACATTCGGCAAATCTTCCGGAATCGTCGGAAAATGGTCGGAAATCTTTAATAAATTTGGTCTAATTCAAAATATATTCAGCCGTTGCTTAAATAAGACAGGTATTGACATGAAATTGTTATTTACTTGGACACGTGCTAGAGCGATTTTCAATTGAGTATCGAAAGTAATCCGAATTGGTTTTGCTTTACTACGTTCTGTGATTGGTTTACAAAACTCGCGCCACCTACTCAACCAATCAGATGCAAAACCAAAACCAATCATGGTTTTGGTTTTGGTTTTGGTTTTGGTTTTGGTTTTGGTTTTGGTTTTGGTTTTGGTTTTGGTTTTGGTTTTGGTTTTGGTTTTGGTTTTACGACACTCAAATGAAAACCGCTCTATACCACATCTAGACTGCGAACAGTCTCTATTTTTCGCTATAGTCCGTGAGGCGAACGCGCGAGAATAGCACGATTTACGTGCTATTCTCGCGCGTTCGCCTCACCGACTTTAGCAAAAACTAGAGACTGTTCGCAGACGTCTATACCTCACCCAATTGTTGGTATAAAATTTAAATCCTAATTATATTTCCCAAATTGGACAGTTCGTAGTCCTATTACATATACAAATTTACGGGATTTTTTGGCGAATGGCACGAAAGTTTAGACAAATAAAGTGACATTGTTTTCCATCAACTGATACTTTTCTAGAATTTAGGGCGTGGTCAATCACGTGACCTCTTAAAGTCTTTGAAATGGAATTCACATGTCTTGATACGATGAACAGCACTATCTCCAAACACCTTCTATAGCGCACTAAGATTTGAACCAGCCACGTCAGTGCACCAGCCTGTGGGGTTAAAACACCTTGTGTCATCGTCCGAAACGTTTTGAATGACCTCATTGAACAGCTCCCAAAATAATCGTTCATCGTTGCTAATGGAATCTGTCTCCGAAGCAAAGCGTGACGTAGCCCTTGGAGATGCAGAAATCGTCCTATTTCACGACCCACGACCCATGACCTGGTACCTAGTACGACCCACGACCTATTTATCCACAACCCATGCACGACACACGACATGGTACCCACGACCCACGACCATTAGCTAAACCTTGGGTATAGAGTTGATAATTTTCTGTATATTTACTTCACTTGTGTGCTTGACATGTGCATGTATCATATATATACAAGAAAGCACAGTCACATTACCCATCTGAAAATTAAAATAAAAAGTTATTAAGCAAATTAAGGTGGGCCAAAGATAAATTAGATTGCAATTGAAAAAAGATCGACTTGAAGATATTATACAAAGTGATACGACTCAATGGTAACTTTCCCAGCAGAAAGAAGTAATCGCACGCCCGCGCGCTTTCTGTGCCGGGTGGTTAATAATGAGCAATGTATTGCAAATCTACAAGTCTGATATATAATGATCGAATTTTTTCCTGATTTCTTTCTTTGATTATTATTGAATTTTTTTCCTTAGTTTTATCTAGTTAGTCAAACGAAATATTCATTGGTAAAAGAAATAATTGAATAAGGCAAGGAAGTTCCAGGGTTTTTTCGTCCTGATCCATACACTTTACTCTTATTGAAACTTCCCTACAATGGCCACCACTCTACAACGGGCAGTAATTTTGCCCCAGAGTGGCCCGGTACAGAGCTTTGTTCCTTTGTGTATCGTGTTACTAGCTGTTACCAAAGATTATTTCATGAACTTTAGAATTGATGGACATTATGTATTATTGGTCAAAATCTACAATCCGTTCCGTCGCCGTCTCTAAAACAAATACAGCTCATTTTAACAATCAGAAAATCAGAATTTGCAATTAAAGTTAAGGCTCGTTTACCAGAGTTACCAGTTCTAGGTCGTTGAATTTCTATACAATCCTTATATTTTCGCTATTTCACCATAATCACAGAATGATTACGTGATTGCTTGCATGACCTGTGTATTATGAATTCAAAATAACTTGCCGAGAGCTGACAATTACAGATCTTTTGATAAATTTATTTCGTTCTCTGTAGTGCAAATCACGGATATGAGATGTCAAAAGGTGAAATGAAACAATGAGCATTCATTCAAGTTAACTGTTGACATTTTAATTGATTGGTGTTGACAGACAACACATTGGCGTTGCTAACGACATAGAGAGTGATTGAGCCAATGACATACGCTTTCCCTCTGACAACTCGTCAGCTAATAATATCTTAAATCTCAGATTTTCTTCACAAGTGAAATGCAGCTTGTAGTAAAAGATGCACCACAGTCAATCTAGTGTTTAAAAACGGAAATATTAAAGTTTTACATTGTAAATACAGAGTTTCTTGTTACTTGGGTTATTTCTTCGGTAGTCTTCTGAGCTACATGTACTAGCGCGCGTGAAAAACAGATTTTGCAAAACAAGCCTGAGATTTCAATATTTCTTTATCAAATTCAAACGAAGTAAGAAAAAAATAAAAAGGTTATTTGCCGGCCTAGGTCGGTCCGTATTGAGAAAAACTGTGCCCTTGGTCTTGAGTACGGCCCTCGGCCTAACGGCCTCGGGCCTTACTCAAGACCACGGGCACAGTTTTTCTCAATACGGACCTCCCGGCCGGCCAATAACCTATATATATATATTATATTTAGCACGAGAAACTGATCAGATAATTTTGTTAGATGGCTGGAAAAGTCCTATCGCCTAATCAGTCGGTCTTAATCGGGTTTTTTTTTTCTTTTCTCATTCTCTGTTTGACTAAAGGCATTTTCAGTACCAACGAAACTTCATTTTACCTATTATAATTTCCGCGCGGTCTCATTGGCTGAAATGCTTCACGTGTACAAACAGTTTTAGGAGTGGTAGTAACAAACAAAATATCCGCCCTTCCGCGTTATTCAAAACGAATCGTTCCACCTCCCTGAATATTTCTCATTCACTTTCATATTTGACCAACAAAGAGACAACTACAAACAAGTCAGTAGTGGAAACTGCTTTCCTGAGACTGATCGATCTTACCTTTTCTGTCTTGTTATGTTACGCGTAAACTAAAGTGTGTTTTTGAGTTTCTAACCTACCGGTGACGTTTGCAAAGGGCACCTACAGTGTATGACATTAAAAATCCTATTAATATAACCAATCTACGTCACTCGGCCCGCAATCACGTCATGATCAACACCGGCTTTATATTCTTCTTTTTATGCGAACAAACGCAATGTGAAATTATAACATCAATAAATCCCTTTCCGACGTGCTGGTACATCGGATGACAATGCTCTTGGCTGATAGGATGTCCTCAAAATATCATGGTTACTTGAATGAAAGAGAATGAGATCTTCACAGTTAACTTAAGCAGATGGAAAGAGAACCTGAAAAAATAATCCTGCTCCAACGGGATTCGAACCCATGACCTACGATTCCGATACAAGCGCTATAGCTCTACCTACTGAGCTATGAAGCTACTGGGAAGTGGTCAATTGTGAGTTTTATTTACATGTTTACCTTGGTTGCTTATATGTTACGTTCATGCTTGCAGGTGGTTCCCAACTCAGTTACTCACTGGGTCCCAACATTTTTTTGTCATCAGTGACGTGTCTTTTCTGACTTCCTTATTGAAAGCTGTTTGTTTGCTTTCAATAAGAGCCATCCAAAATTTCATACTTTTGGAAACCAAAGAACGAAAAGCGCAACAAATGTTTTATTTATCATTTTGTGTGTGGAGTACTTAAAATCAGGACAATAGCTAAATTGCAAAAATCTCATTTATAATTATTTTCGCTAGCTACAAAAGTAAACTTGTCAACTGAGGGAGGGGAGCAGGTATGGCCCAGTGGTGAGATCGCTCGCCTCACACCAATGTGGCCAGGGCCTTTCGAATCCCGGACCCGGCGTCATATGTGGGTTGAGTTTGTTGTTGGTTCGAGGACCGTCCTTGCTCTTGCTCCGAGGGTTTCCAAAACCAACACTTCTAAATTCCAATTCGATCTGGGATCCGAGGGCCACAGGTTTGTCAGTCGCAAGACTGTTGAGTGATACCCTCGTAAAACAGAGTCGTCTTTTTTAGCGGTTTTGAAGAACTTTCTTAATTCGTTTAAGCACGGCTCCGCGGTGTTGAAAATTGCACGTCGAAGAAGCTATTTATACATAAGTAAATGCAGACCACATATAAATGTAAATAAACATAATTCAGTTGATATTATTATTGTCCCAAACAATATTGAAGCTATCAAAAATGCCTTCTCGCTTTGCGTTCAGTCATTGTTCGTGCTATTACTGATAACATATCTTCGCGCGCAAATGAAACTGCAAGTGCCAAATATTGCAACAAGTTCGCGTTTAATTTTCAGCGTAATGGCTTGTTAAGAACAAGCTAAAAACGAACTCGCTTGTTTTTAAATAATTCGCCTTCATTTTTCATTATTTAAAAGCGATGCTAAAGTGCCACGTTATTCACCTACCTTCAAGAGAGATCAAGTTGTAAGCTTCAGCTCCGAGTGATGCGGATTCCAGTTTCTTGTCAATAGAGTCGTGGCTTCTACGATGTACTTTGCCGTCTGTTCAATCTTCATATATAAAAGCGCCGGCCACAATGAGATTCCACCCATTCAATTTCCGCCGATGACTTTAAATTCACTACGCTTGAAATAACCTTTGTTCTTGCATTTCCTTTAGGCGTCGTTGTGTTTAACATTTCATGACACATATGCTCTCATTAACGTTAGCATTGTCCAAAGTAGCAATTAAATAAGCCGGAGAAGCTCGTAAGTCAGAAGCCTGATGAATTGTTATTGCTTGTTGCTTAATGGACTTCAGTTGAAAGACAAACCATGGAACTGACATTTTAAAGTTAATGCCTCTAGAAAACGTTTCCACTTGGATCTGTAGTCCATCTTGATAGTCCATCTTGGACATATTTTCCTTATTAATGTTGTACTGAGAACTACCAATAAAATTTACTTTTATTTTCACACCTGTTTTTTACTTCTGTATCACTGAGGAAACTGTAAATGTACAACTTAAAATTAATGATTTTCGTTTGCACCACTTTTTTACATATGGATTTTTCCGTACTATATGTACATGTGTGCAAAGGTTGACAACTAATTCAAGATTTTGTCCCCAATGTAATAGCATGTCATGTCTTCTGGCTGTTGAACATTTATTTGATACCAAAAATAGACTTAATGGTTCGCTTTTTTGTTATATGCCATTCAACACGATTTCTGTTTACTGCCGGAGGAAGAAATGCCTACGCAGATAGCTTGTGATGTGGGAAACAACTGTCTGCCAGTCCTGAAAGTTCCGGCGTCTTCCACACAATATAGAAAACGGCTTTTAGCAATTGAACAAAATGTGTCGTGCACTTAGAGGAAATATGAAAACCTTTAACTTAATTTGGCAGTATTTGCTCTTAGTTTACTGTTCCATTCGAATCTCTACGCCTGGGCCACTTTTAGGCTTTTCTGCACATCCTCTCAATTAAGGTTTCTTCAGTTTATCTTTTCAATGATCACAGTAAGTTGTTTTCCGAGAAAATAAAAAGCTTTCAAAAATAAAAAAATAAAAAATAAACAACTTTATTCTTTCTTTATAGAGAATTCGTAAACGTTTCAAAAGGAAATCAACAAAACCGAAACGGAATTCTCGTATTTAAATTAGAAATATAAGTTTTGTTACTGAGTGATTGCAGTACATCTCTTTCGTTAATTTTGCTGGTACATCGAGACAATTTCCTTACGTTGACAATTTATATTGACAGCTATCATTTCCCAGCAGATAGCTGTGTAACGCTTTTAGTTTTGAAAGGATTGTATTCTTTCACTCCTGGAAAATGAAAGGCTTTAAAAACCAATCTTGTGAAAACTGTGCTTTTACGATAACATATAAATTATACAAGATAAAACCACACATATATTTTATATTTCTATTATTTATTTGTCTTACTCGCGATTTGTTGTGATGGACACTTACCTACAACCATAGATCAACGGAAAACCCTTCAATATTTGTAATACATTTGATGTTATCCCACAATATTAGTTATATATTCTTGAATTTTTCTCACGGGAAATTTCGGACTGCACTTGAATCTATAATTTATTAATTATACCTTTCTGAAAAAATAAACCAGACTTTCCACAGTGGTCAACGTAATAACGTTTTGAATTGGCCGCAATTATAATGCGACCAAACGGAAATTTATTGACAACAACCTATGAGCAAACTACAATTGAATTCGTTTTTAAAATAATTTTTATAACATATACAACATAAAAATTTAAACGAAAACAGCTTGCACCATTTCTCCGAAAGATGTTTCGTATTAGTCATGTCCTTTAATATGTTTTCGTTTACATTTTTTTTTACTTTTCTTTGTTCCGATTTTCAACGATGTTATTTTCAATTTACCATTTAAAGGAAAATGCACCGCTCCGTTATTTTAGTTTAGCGAATTATGTAAATTCGACTTTATGTTTTAGCTCTACAATTAATTCGTTATTTAAGAGTAAGACCCATCCAGACACTCACTTAGCAATTTGTAATTAAACGCGTCTCTACAAACTAAGGCTTGTTGACATGGTTCTAGAAGGATCACACGCAGGTCTATTGTGAAATATGTAAGGAAATATGAACTAATCTACCGACAAAAGTTATAAATATGGACTTGGGTTTATTTTTCTTTCAAGAAAATATTTTTTCGCTTAACTGCTCATACCGACGGGGTTTTTGTTACTGTTTTTGTTTTGTTTCGTTTGTTTAGCCTTCGAAAGTCTTCGAAACAGGAAATGCGATTTAAAATTGCTAGGAACTAAATAACCGAAATATCAGTATCTTCCTTCAAAAGGTAACTCATTTTTAGACGCGAAACCCAAATGAATTTGGTTCTCAATGGCTTTCATCAGGCTTTCATCAGATGAGAGGACTACGCTCATGTGCTCTTAAAAATACATTTATCTGTTTTGTCGGCTTCATCTCTCATTAAGTTATTACTTGTTTCACGTTTTCGATAATGCATACTCCGTTTACTTTTAAAATTCGAACTTCCAGAGAAATAAAAAGAATACTTATAGTTATCGCGACTTTCATCAACTTCAGATTTGGCATAACTTCATGTCCGGCCATTATCATTTCACCTGATAGACCTTTCTCCAAAATGGCCGCCGTAAATTCAAAATGATTAAATTTAAACTGAGCGAAAAATCAATACCAACACCTGAAAGACCTCCTCTTGTTTGGTAATCGTACAAAGTTTCGTTAGGTTAGGTTCTACCTGAGTCGAGAAAACGAAAGTTGAAAACTGGAAAATTTAGAGCCGTTTGTACGCCATACTGGTTTTAATATGAATTTGCGGCGGCCATTTTGGAGAAAGGTCTATTCGGGTACTAACTGTACAGAGTTCGAGCAAGAAAATCCGGTTTCTTCCATCCTCGAATCTCCATACGAAACTTCAACTAGAGAAAGTGAATTTCGAACGATAGGTTGCTAAGCAACAAGTATTTTACCTGACGCAACAACTGTTGGCGTTGTCACGAGTGTTCGTGCAATGTTCTGATTGGTCGTCTAGAATCGGATACCATTCGAAAATTTTACGATGATGCATACGTACCATAAATTATACCTTTGAATATTGCTTTGGTTTTGTTTAGGATCTTATATTACTCTTGAGGAACATCTAAGAAAAATAGAAGCAAAATGTAGCAAGCTGGTTTTTGGCGGTTTGACAATTATTCTCGGGAGAGGAAGTATATACTGCACTAAGGATATTCCACTGCATGTGCTGTTAGCCAATTATACCGCGAGCTGATAAAATTGTTCACTATATACTAATTTCGTTTTTTGTTGTTTTGTGAGAAAACATATAGCTAATTAAACCAACAGCAGTACGCCATTAATTATTTATTAATAACGCTATTTTCGTTTTATTAATTCATAGGAATACTGTTACTAAACATGTCGCTCTTTTTTACATAACTTGTTGTTACTGAAACAATCAACACGAAAAATATAATTTTTCACTTACATTTTCGTGGTGCGGTATATACATGTACAGTAGAACCCCGCTAACTCGAACTTCCAAGGGAAACAAAAAATAGTTCGAGATAGCTAAGGTTCGAGTTAGCGGGGTTCTCAGTACTGTATGTATTGAATTTCCTGAGTCAGCAGTCTATATTAAGTTCAGAAATCTTACAAAGAAACGAGCACGCGGGAAACCGAATTTAATTTGAATCCCCGTTGGTTTTCACAGCTTTCAGAAAGGAAGCCATTTCATTCGGCTCCTGATATCCACCTCGATCATGTTGTGGGCGAAGGTCTTCATATAAATGAAGCCGGTGAATTAGCTTTCAAATGATTGACAGCTGATTGACAGGGTTTTTCATTAAGTTTGCTACTCGTTAAGGTCACGGGTGAAACTTGACAACGAATAAATTCAGTTTTGGTACAGACACATAGCTGAGTTTT